TCGCTGCCTGTCTTGAAAGTCGCAAGGTCCTAGGTTTGAGCCCTGGAACCAAAACAAACAAACAAACCAAAAACAAGGTCTACGGGGAATGCTCTAAAATTACCTTTTTCTGGCACTGCTGTCTAAGATAAGACAACAAAACCACAACAGTCAAAACAAAACAAACAGGTCAAGTGAGGAGCACCAATAAATCCAGCAACTAGCAAGGCTGAATGCCGCGTGTACAAAATATAAGAACTTGCCTGCAAAACTAACATGTCCCACCAAAGAAACATCGTCATCTTCCCATGTTCCCAACGTACATTTACCATCATCTTAACAAAAACAGCGTGTAAAAAAAACAAAGGCAAGGCATAAACAGTTGACAGACAAGGATATGAATTTATAAATTTATTCTTTTTTTTTTGGTTTTTTAGACAGGGTCTGACTGTGTAGTTGAGACTGACCTGGAACTCACTATGTAGCCCAGGCTGGTCTCGAACTCACAGGGATCCTCCTGCCTCAGCCTCCCGAGTGCTGGGATTACAGGCATGCACCACCACGACCGGCAAGGATACGAATTTCTGATTACCTAAATGAGTCACAGTCCAGAATCCACGAGACAAAAGCAACTCTTACCTCCTTCCAGTGATCTCCTCCAAACGCTATAGGGGAATAACGTAACTCCCAGCCTGCCGATTGTCAGATATGCCAAGTTTGTGTTCCCCCAAATTGAATAATGAATTCTAAGGAACAGCGAAGGTTAAGAGTAGGAAGATTTTTTTCAAGACACTCCTGAGAGAGGAGAGGGCCCAAAAGTAGGTTGCTGACAAGCTACTTCTCAAAGCAAGCTGTATAGAGCAAAACCACAAGGTGGGTCAAAACTATGATCAGCCAATAAGATTACAGGTTTAGCCTCTTAGGTAATATTGATCCAATGGGGAAGCAGGTTCGGTAGCAAGTATACATGGAAAGAACAAGGACCTTTTTGGGAAGGGATGCGTTAAGAGGTCTTGGTCACTGACCTGGGTGACCGATGTCTATTTAGACTTTAGTTGTAGACTAAAGTAGTTGGGCCAGGTGATACCAATTATAGTATGACCTTTACGTTATTGCTTATCCCTTGGGGAGGCCTGGTCATTCTGTCTTTAGGTTGAGGCCTGGCCTCCAACAGATGGGCTTCCAGCTATAGTTGCAATGTGTTCTCCCGCTCTGCATGGACACCCTCAAGGGCTTAGCTCTGTCTGACTGCCTATAATATTTCTACGTACCTTAGCTGTTTGTAATACCACGACTCTTCGCATTTAGGAGGAGCTCAAAATATGCTTTTAAATCAGTGAGACATGAAAAGAGTGAGCAGGAGGGCAAGAGTCTCCGAAATGAGGCCTGGGAGGGCCTGGTGGAAGAAGGAGAGGTGTCATTGTTGGGGGACAGCACTCAAGGACACCGCCCAACCCCACCTATGTGGGGGCTCTACTTGGAGCCTTTGGCAGCAGGGGGTGGGGGGGCCGAAGAGGGAGTGATTGTGTTTATTCTGGTATCTTCTGAGCTGATTGTGCTCTGCTCAAATGTCTGTTAAATGAATAAAGGCACCAAGCCTGCTGATGCAGCCCTAGAATCTCAGCAATTAGGAGGCTGAGCCAAGAGGATTGCTACAAATTCGAGGCCAGCCTGGACTACATAGTGAGTTCAAGGCCAGCCTGAATGACACAGTGAGACCCTGTCTCAAAAGACAAAGCAATGAATGAAGGCATGGGTGGATGGGAGGAAGGAAGGGTGGGTGGATTAGAGACCTGGCTTTCAGAGGCAAAAACAACTGACATTTCGTGCCAATCAGATGGCTGCAGCTGCAGCACACAGCTTTCCAAGAAGGCCCTCGGTGGTCTCCACCTCCCAGTGCCCTTGTGCAGTCCCCACCTTTGTATGTGGGCTGCACCTGCTGACGTCCTTCTAACTGGTAGAGCCCAGAACCAGTGGTGGTGTGTCACTTCCACGAGCAGGGCACAGTGGCCCTCCCTGCCACCTCTCTGGACTCCACTGCTACCCCCACAAAGCCAGCTACCACGGCGGAGAGGCAACTGCATCAGCCCACAGGCTGCAGCCCACAGCCAGTGGGGAACTGAGGCCCACAGGCCAATAGCCTCCGAGGAACTCAGTCCTGACCATGACCTCATGAGCTTGACCTTCCTGTGGTCACTTGAACTGCAGCCTGAGAAAAACCCCTGAGCAGGAAATCTGGCCAAGCTGGGCCAGATTCCTGCCCCACAGGAACCAAGATTCCAAGAGTGCATTGCTCATGCCTTGGGGTTAATGTATTACCAGCAATATACAGCTAAACAACGGCTCACTGGAGAGTGTCCGTCCCCTACCCTACCCTAGGCACTGGGGATGGAACCTGGCCCTTCCCACTGAGCTACATCCCCAGCCCTTTACACATATAAAATTCTGGGACAAGTTCTCCTGAACTTGTGAAGTTGCCCCGGCCAAACTCAAACTTTTGATCCTTCTGCCTCAGCCTCCCAGAGTGCTGGAATGATAGGCAGGCACCACCACACCTGGCTCGCTCCAGTTTTATGCAAAGATGGGCACTGTGGCAGTTAAACTTAGCCAGTAATGGCAGTGGTGAAGAGCCCTGCTTTTGGTACTATTTGCCTTGGGTTTGAATCCTAGACCTCCAACTTTTTAGCTATGCAGGTTTGGACAAGATAATCAGTTTCTAAGAGCCTGTATTTCTTTAAATGGGCAAAATTCTCTACTCTCAATAATTGCACAGGATGATCTAAAGAGATTAACACACTTACCCTGGGGCCTGTAGGTTGGTAAGCACCCAGTAGAAGGAAGCTATTAGCGATAATAATGTCAATAAAGATGGAACAGGATTCTGTACAAGGCAGCAAGTGAGATACAGGCTTCAAATCCCAGTACTCTAAGAGGCTGAGGCAGGAGGATTGTCTGTTTAAGCCCAGCCTGGACAATTTAGCAACTGAGTGAGAACCTTTTTTTTTTTAGAAAGGGGCTAGCCATGCGGCTCAATGAGAAGGACTTGGGTTCAATCCCCAGGACCACAAAATAAATAAGCAAATAAATAATAACCCTATCATATCGTCCAGCTCTACCACTCCTTGGGCACATAGCCGAAGGAACCGAAGTCTGCGTATGAAAGAGATTTCTGTGTCCCTGTCTTCATGGTGGCGTGGTTCACACAATAGCCAAGGTAGGGGGTCAGCCTAATGCCTGCTAGCAGATAAAGGTGCCAAGAAAGTAGGGTGTGTGTGTACACAGTGGGAGTTGGGTCCACCATCGAGAGCAAAACCACCTCCTGCATATGAAAATAGGTGGGACTGGAGGTGCTCGTGCAAAATGAAACATACAGACACTGGCAAATAGCATGTATTTCCCTTTCCGGGTGGAAAGAAACAAACAAAAAAGGATGACCTAGGGCCAGGGATTTAGCTCAGTGGTTCTGGCATCTGCCTCGAAAGCTCGAGGACCGGACGGAGTTCGATCCTCGGTACCAAAAAAAAGTAGCAGGGAGACTGTATTAGGCCAGGGGAAGGGGACAAGGGAAGAAACGAGAGGACATAAGGCAGGTGAAGAAGGGAAGAGGGGAGAGCAAGCAGGAGAGGGCGGCGGGGGAACCAAGAGTGATTCCACGAGTGAATATCAAGAGTATTCGAGACAGAAATGGCACTGCAGACCCAATTAATTCGTACAATTAATATGAGTTTATTTTATAATAAAAGAGACATTTATATGAATGAAACCGTTTTTTTTTTCTGTTTGTTTGTTTGTTTGTTTTTAAGGGAATGTAAGCACAGAGGACCCAAACTTTCCCCACAACTCAGATTCGACACCGTGCAGCTGGCCCGGCTGGTTCAGGGAGTTGGGGAAAAATAACTCCGGCCTGCCGGATGTCAGAAGGGCCGAGTTCGTGTCTCCTGGATATCAAATATCGAAGAATACATTTTGAGGCTAAAGGGGAGCAAGAATAGGAAAGATTTGTTGAGAGAGAGCTCCTGAGAGACAGAAGGGGGCTCAAGGGGGTCGCCACGGACCCCACTTCATAAGGGAAATTTTATAGAGCAAAATCACGAGGTGGGTACAACGTGGGTCAAAGCTATGGTCAACTGATGACAGGACAAGTACAGCCGCCTAGGCGATATTGATCTAATGGGGAGGCGAGTCCAGGAGCAAGGGTACAAGGAAAGAACGAAGATCTTTTATAGGAAAGGATGGATCCGGAAGTCCTGGTCACCCACCGGGGTAGCCGATGTCTAGCTAGGCTTTATTGGGCCAGGTGTTACTACTTATTTTATCTCTTGGGGAAGCATGTCGTTCTTTCGTCTTCATCTTGAGGCCTGGCCTCCAACAGGTGCGCCTCTGGCCACAGCTGTAACGTGTTTTCATTCTCTGTCCTGACTCCCTCGAGTCAGCTGCTTGGCTAACAGCCATCCAGTGGGGAAACAAGGGGACACAGGGAGTATCACAGCCTTAGCCTGTCTAGAACTTCTAGACGGAACAAAGACCTTCTTAGAAAGGGACGGGAAGGGATGAGAGGGTGGGCGCAGGGTGGTGCTAAGGACGGTAGAAGCTCAAGTTTCTGTTATGTCCAGGGAGGCTCACAGGCCTGGACGCTGCGTCACCACCTTGAGACCGGGCCTTCTTCAGATGCACCTGTGGTCCCAATTCTGATGTGTTTTCATTTTTTTCACTGAATCCCTCAAGCACCCACTCCTGTCTGACTGTCGATTAATCTCTATCTGATTTAACTGTCTATGACAGTGGGGTGTGTGGGGCGAGTGTCCCTCCATGGGGACAGTCAGTGTGACCTCGCACTGGGGGGGGCATTCCAGCCATTCCCTGCCCTGCCTGGGAAGCACGGTATCCCCCATGTGGCCTCTGGTCAGGTGTGGTGGTGGGGCAGGCAGGTAAACAACCAGCCAGGAAGTGCCAGTGCGGCCAGGCACCGGGCCAGGCAGGTCTAAAGGTCAGGACTGCTCCCTGGGGAAGCTTCACCGGAAGAGGACGGGACCCTGGGCTGGGACTCCCTGGGACAGAGCCGAGAGCTGTGGACCTGGCTGAGGACATGGGCTTGTGCTGGGGCACCTGGACAGGACAGTGGTCAGAGAGGAAAAGCTGATCCAGGACCCATAGCCAGGAGCTGTTCCTGCAGGTGAGTGGACAGCTTTAGTGTTTCTGAATGAGATGGGATGAAAGGTGGCAGGGAACAGAGTCCCTGCAGGGGCAGACAGGAGCCCAGGCACTGCTCCTGGAGGACAGCGGCCCTGGCCTTGGTTATTATTCTTACTGTGGGGACAGTGAGATGATAAGTAGGAGCAGCTGCATCTCCTGCTGGGCCCCTCGTGAAAAACTCATTGCAAATCTCAGAACGACTGTGGCCTAGCATTAAACAGAGCCCGGAGACCCCCTAAGAAAGGTTGCCGGAGGGTGCCCTGCTGATAAATAAATGTGGGTGCAGACTGTGAGGGGCTGGGGCCGCACGCTCCCCTCTCAGGGGCAGGAAGAGCACTCAGGAGCAGCACTGTGAAGTGACAGCCCAGCGCCAGACATCCCACGGCCTCCTCCTGCTCGGGGGCCTGGCTCAGTGGGACGAGGGACCCTGCCCTTGCAGTCTTCCCAGTGTGTGTGCCCAGCTGGCATGAAGCCACAGCCTGCAATGACACAGCAGGGACAGTTTTCTCGGAGGCGATGGTGGAAAGTTCTTACTTCTCCTCTTGACTGACATTGGGAAGGTCACATGGCCACTGGCACTGGGAGGTTTCTAAGGTTAAGTAAAAAAAATTTTTTTTTGGTACCAGGGATCAAACTCAGGACCTTAAGCTTAAACAAGGCAGGCACAGTGCCACTGAGCCAAATCCCCGGCCCCTCCTGGGAAGTTTGATTTGTGCGCTTCAAACGTCCTGCATGGTTCCTGGTCCTGTCTTCTTTGCTTTTCCCCTTCAACTTGTCCTTTCTTTTCCACTCCTGCCCATGCTGTGCAATTCCCTTTGGCTCTGCTTCGCCTTGGAAAGTAGAAGCCAGCTGGGCGGCAGCACTCTGCTGTGATCCAAGCACTCTTGGAGGCTGAGGCAGGAGAATCACAAGTTCAAGCCCAATCTGGACAACTCAGCAATTCAGCAAGACCCTATCTCAAAATATGAAATGTAAAAAAGGGATGGGAAAGCAGCTCCGTGTGAAGGCCCTGGCTTCAATCTGTAGTACTGAAGAAAAAGAAAGTAGAAGGAAATATCTCCTGGGGAGTCTTTAAAAATGTTTATTAGTGCACATTTGCACATTCACTCGCATGTGTTTGCACTACATCATGATTACATTCGCGGTGGGGAGTTGGTGCATGTACCTAACACAGGAATCGTGCTGCTGTGAACGTGGGTGTGCATGGATCACTATAACATGATGTCTGTAACTCTTTGGGGAGGGTAACCTGGAAGGGCAATAGCTGGGCTGAATGGAATTCCTATCTTTAGTTGTTTGAGGACTCTTCATACTGATTTCCACAATGGTTGTACTAGTTTCCATGCCCACCAACAGTGTGAAAGGATTTCTTTCTCCTCACAGCCTTGCCAGCATTTGTGGTCTGATCTCTTTACGATAGCATTTGCTTCTGGAGTGAGGTAGAATCTTAGGGTTGTTTTAATTTGCATTCCTGTGGTACTGGGGATCGAACTCATGACCTTGTGCTTGCGAGGCAGGCGCCGGCACCACTGAGCTAAATCCCTGGCCCGATGTTGAGCATTTTTTAATATCTTTACTGGCATTTGCACTGTGTCTGCTCATTTCAGCTGCCCATTTCTCAGTTAGGTCTTTTATTTTGGGAGGTCTAATTTTATTTTGAGTTCTTTACATACTCTAAATATTTGTCCTCTGCCCAGGGAATAGCTGGTCCATTTTTATTTTTTTTCCATTCTGCAGGTTGTCTCTTCACTCTGTTGGTTGTTTTACTTTGCTGGGTAGAAGCTTTTTAATTTGATGGAATCCAATTTGTTGATCTTAGTGTTATTTTTTGTGCAGTTGGGGCTCTGCTCAGAAAGTTCTGGCCTATACCTATGTCTTCAAGAGTTTTATCTATTTTATGTTCCTGGGGACTCAAGCTTTCTGATCCTTGAAGTGGACACCGGGCCCCCCTCCCTGGACTCTGCTCTCCTCCCCATCTCCCCAAGTCCAGGTTGTCTGGGACTCAGCTCCCAGGGGATCCCTGTAAGAAAGCCAGTGGGTAAACGGTAGTGTACATAGCATGGCCCGACCCTTAGCAGGATCACTGCTCTGCAAAATGCATCTGTGCTCTGCCCGTGAGGCTCCCGCTTCCACCTGCAAAGCTGCTGCTATGGGCAAACCAGCTCGGACCCTGTGTGGCTGCCAAGGGTCTCCGAGGAGGCCCAGGTTTCCCAGGAAGCCAGTGAGGCAGCCAGCCCCAGGTCAGACACACATGGCCCCAGCACCAGTGTCTTCTGCCACTGCCACGGGCCTGAGGTCTCCCCAGGAAGGAGTCTGCTCCGACGCTGAACCACCTCTTGAGCCAATCCCCTTCATCCCCAACAAGTCAACACTGATGCAAGGTGGGAAGCCGGCCGGAACCGTCCAACACGAGCATCCTCGGGCCCCTCTAGGTCAGGTCTCCTGCGTCCCTCCTGCTGCCTGTCCCGGCCTTCTCAGGGCTCAGGCTCAGGCTGTACTGCTCAGCTCCCTGACCTGGCCCTGCTGGAGTCCACAGGGAGCCCAAACAGACTCTGACCGGGGCTGCCTGGCCAACACCAGCTGTGGGCGCCAAAGTAACCCTGTAACCAGGGTTTACCCCCATCAAACCAACTCCCCACAGGTAAAGCACTTGTGAGGCCTGGATGGGGGCTGGGTGGGGCAACGGTGGCCTCCAGGCAGGAAGCTTGCTCAGTGAAGAAAGCACAGGATGGGGACAGTCACTGGTCATGGCACTGTGCAGGGTCGTCTGGCCGAGTGGGGCTTCCTTCCTGGGCCCTGGCATCCCTCTCTTGAGCCCCATGCCCCTCAGGAGTCCTCAGCCTCCATGTCACGCTGGAGACGTCAAAGCAGGGGTGGGACTCTAGCTCAGGACTGCAGGAAGCACCCAGGGAGGCCGCCAGCCTGTCCCCCATCCTCTGGGTGACAACACTCTCCGAGGCTCAGCTACCTGGGCGATCACCTAACATTTGGAGTGCAAAATAATGTCCACATTCAAATGAGGAGAGAGCGGATTGCCAAGGGGGAGACCAGGCAGGGGCCAGAGAGGAGGTGGCCTCTGAGCTGGGCATCAATAAACATTCTTCCATCAAACAGTCACTGTTTTGGAGCAGGAGGAGAGTGGATGCACGTGGCTAAATACATTATACAGTGAGGCTCTCTGACTCAAAAATAAGGTAACATTTTTTGGCACCCTAATTGAAAGCTATAAGTTCTTTAAAAATAAAGTCACTCAGATGACACAGGGGCAGGGGGCCCTCAAGAAGGTGGGAGAAGAGCCTCAAAAGGACACGTGACACCTGGCTACAGGACGCAAGGGGACAGGGATGGTGGGGTGTGCCCCGCCCATGATGCTGGACCGCAGAAGTTCACAAGGCCAGGCTGAGGGTCTGCACAGCTGGTGAGTCTTGTGGGAAACTCACCTGTCACTTCCATGGCTACCACCACTGGCTTTGCCTCTGTCACTGTCACCTTTGTTTGAAGCTTCATGCACCTGCCTTGGGGCCAGAAGCTCTCATTATCAATTATCATGACTCCCATGCGTCTACAAATGGAGGGCTGACTCTACTATCGTGAGTGTGTTTCCTCTCGGAGACGGATTTCAATACATCCTCTCTCCAGCAGGATGAGCCATGTGGACGAGGGCCTTAAAAAGACAAGATTAGCTTGAGAACCGGGGCAGAGACCAGTACAGGGAAGAAAGGCAGACAAGCTCGAGCCTGAAGACTTCGATCCCATTGGAAGTAGCAAAACTCAGCCCTAGGTGGCCCACTTGTGGGAGGGGTTATACTAAATTCCATGCAAATGAATCCATATGCTTGTACCAGGCTTTTGGCCACCACGATGAAATCCTGAAAAGACATTTCCTGCAGCCAGGAGGCAAGGGGCAGACCGTGCCTGCTGCGGCCCTCAGCGTCCAGCAGGGATGCGGTAGTGTAGACTCCCAGCCCTCAACCAGTCTCCCACTTTCACTTAGGCCTCGGCTGCTTCATTTCCCTTCCCTGCCATCCAAACAATTAGACTAAAATCCTCAACTGTCTACCCCGGGCCTTTCTACAGCTGAACAGAGTCTCATTAACTCCCATCCAGGGGAAAAAAGTTTCCCAGCCATTTCCAGTTTGTAGAACCCTGCACCCGGCTCTGTTTTTCATGATTCCGCTGTGAAGCCGCTCAGAGAGTGTGTACCTCTATAAAGTCTTGTTTTGTTCTCAACCGAGTGATAAAAACATTCCTTGGTGGATTCTTGGGTGCTGGAGGAAAGCTTTCTTTTCCTCTGAGTTCCTTTTTAGGAAGTTAGCTTTGAACCTTAAAATGAGCCTTAAGTTCTTTGTTTCTGGATTAAAAGGACGTCTGGCACGGAGACAAGTCTTCCCAGCACCCACGCTGCCTATAGGAGCAGCTGCCTATAGCTTTCTTTGAGTTTCTGGCCTCTTTGGAGCCGGTTCTGAGTCAAAAAGCTATGAATTGGGGAACTTGAGTTCCACGCGCAAGGGGAGATGTGAAGACTTCCAGCTCGGGTCAGAACGAAGCTGTGGCTCAGAGGTAAATAGATTCTGAGGCTGTGTTTGAGGAAACATTCCTGCAGCTGATTTGGGTATTCGTTGGAGAAAAAGCACAGAAATCGCGAACTGAAATTCCCACTGAGGTGGGAAGCTGGCCGGAACCGTCCGACACGAGCAGCCTCGGGTCCCTCTAGGTCAGGTCTCACGCGTCCCTCCTGCTGCCTGCCCCGGCCTTCTCGGGGCTCAGGCTGCACTGCCCGGCTCCCTGACCTGGCCCTGCTGGAGTCCACAGGGAGCCGGAACAGGACCTGACCGGGGCTGCCTGGCCAACACCAGCTGTGGGCACCAAAGTAACCCTGGTACCAGAGTTTACTGTCTACTTGCTACCTTTCTGAGTTATCCAAAATTCCCACCCCACCCCTTTGTGAAAATTTTGAGACAGGGTCTCACTAAATTGCCC